CCTCCCTCTCCTTTTCCTTTCTCTCTTCCCTCCTCTCACATGCTCACTCAATCTCTCCTTCCCCTCCCCTCCCCTCCCTCTCCTCCCCTCTTTCTTTATCTTTCAGCCCCTCCATCTCATTTCTCTCTCTGTCTCCCTCCCTCCACTCCTCCCCCGCCCACAGCTCTTTCTCCTTCTCTCCATACCTCCCTCCCTCCCTCTCTTTTCTCTCTCACACACACATGCTTTCAAATACACACCCAGTCTCTTTCCTTTTCTTTCTCACAAACACACAGTCTGTCTCTGTCTGACTACTTTAAAAGCAGTAATTATAAATGACGTGGTTATCAGGGCATCCAGGTCTACTCTCCTCTCCCAACACAGACACACACTCACACCTTTATTCCTGCTCTATCTCTTCTTTTTCTCTTTTCTCTATCCACTCTTTCTCTCAGTATTGTGTCAGAAAAAGGAAGCAGTTATTGCTGGTGCCTATTGCAAAGAGTGAAGATCAGAGTGTAGTCTGACAGAAAGTAGGGGTCAGAGAGGTTCTCTTTATATATTTCCTATAGCTCAGATCCATGCTAAGAAATAACCTGAAACAAGTGGACTACAATATTTGCTTCTCCTTTACCACAAACAGCCAGACATGTTGTATCACAATTTCTTCCTCTTAGTTTCACTGTTCCGCTTTTAAAGGCGGTGGTGTAAACATGTGCATTTGGGTCCGAAACACTTCCCAACCATACAATTATGTTAGCGAGTCTTATGCATCGGTCTGGAATATAGAGTGAGCTCGAAGATCAATCGAATGTCTGTCATGGATATGAGATAGCCTGGTAGCATATATCATCTTGTTAAGGAAGCCCGGTGTGGCGGGCATGTGAAGTCGGCTACGGTGAGTGTGAAGCTGAGCCACTTTGCTCCTCATGAATGGGACATATAGCACCAGCGATGAGCTGACTTGGGTCAGCCCGGCTGCCCCGGGACCCCAGAGGAAGTGCTGAGGACAGTCCACGGAAGTCGACTTCCTGGCTGGACCTGCATCCCTTGTTGTGTTCTTATTATTCTAAAGCCTGTCAAGGAAGGAAGCAGGGTGCTAACAAAGATCTGCCTTATCTCCTCAATCAAATGTTCAGTGGATTTAGAGCAAAGAAACAAGGCATGGAGCGAATGCGGCTGAAAAAACATTACCTTTATACTATTGTTGAGTATTAGGAGAGGAAGATTTTAAAGCTTCTGCTGTAAGTCTGGATTTTTAAACATTGAATCATAGGGTAATAATTCCAAAATTCTCAAACATAAAAATCTTTGTTGGTATTAATAGGAAGCTTACCAATACCATGAAGCTACATTGGGGAAATGAGGTTATTTGAGGAAACATTGTGTAAGGCAGGGTTTGAAGCAACTGAATAACAAAAAAAAATGCTGAGACATTATTTCTCCAAGATCATTTTAAAAGATGTATGTTCATGTGTTTTCTTCTAGGAGGAGGAGAGTAGCCGCTTGGTGCGGACCTACCCCAAGATGACTGAGGGGACCTATCCCAAGATGACTGAGGGGACCTACCCCAAGATGACTGAGGGCCACAACATGGATGTGAGCACACAGACGGAGCCTGTGGTGGTGTTATCTCTGGCTCAGGCTGCCGTTCTGGGACTCATCTCCCAGAATGAAATCTTTGGGGCCACCATTGCTCCTAATGGCTTTTACACGGGGGAGTCCAGAGAGTGTCCCCCTCCTCAACCTGAGGCAATGGAGTATGAGTACGCAGATCAGCTAATAGGGGCCAACGGGGACTACCTGGCTGAGCCTGCTGGGGAGCCGGAGCCCCAGCCGCACTGCAGCGAGAGAAGAAGGCCTGGGCCCCGTGGGAGGACCAAGAGGCCGAGGAGTGAGGAGGGTCACCCACACAAAGTAGCAAGTCCACAGGCTCAGGTTAAAGGTGAACGGCTTGACTCTGACACCCCTCCTTCCTGCATTCACATGAACAGCAGGCGAAGTCCTGGCAATTCTGAGGAACCAGTCACCCAACAAGCTTCTTTAAAACAGGAGCATGCCTGCGGAGACTGTCGAACAGGTGTAAGAGATACACCCAGGCCACGAACAGAAGAACAGCCAGAACAGGAAGAAGAAGAAAACACTGGTCGAGAAAGAGAGAAGAAGGAAGAGGAGTTGGTGGTGGAGGAAGAGGAAGAAGAGGCACTTAACCTCAAGACTAGTGGTGACACTGGCAGTCCTGTAGAGGGCCGCTATTATGAGTCCAGTGAGGTGGCATACGAGTCCTCGGACATGGCCCTGCCAGGAGAGTATGAGGACAACGGCCAGGCCATGCTGTGGTCCGACCCAGAGGGACTCGCCAGGCGAATGCAGATTGACAGACTGGACATCAACGTGCAAATCGATGAGTCTTACTGCGTAGATGTGGGAGAGGGTCTGAAACGTTGGAAGTGCCGGATGTGTGAGAAGTCATACACATCCAAATATAACCTAGTCACTCATATTCTTGGCCATAATGGAATAAAGCCCCATGAATGTGTACACTGTGGAAAGCTCTTTAAACAACCGAGCCATCTCCAGACTCACCTGCTCACCCACCAGGGGACCAGACCTCACAAGTGCACCGTTTGTGAGAAGGCCTTCACACAGACCAGCCACCTGAAGAGACACATGCTGCAGCACTCGGACGTAAAGCCCTACAGCTGCCGCTTCTGTGGCCGAGGTTTCGCTTACCCCAGCGAGCTGAGGACCCACGAGAACAAACACGAGAACGGTCAGTGCCATGTCTGCACCCAGTGTGGCCTCGAGTTTCCCACCTACGCGCACCTGAAGCGCCACCTTGCCAGTCACCAGGGCCCCACCACGTACCAGTGCACTGAGTGCAACAAGTCCTTCGCTTACCGCAGCCAGCTGCAGAACCACTTGATGAAGCACCAGAACGTTCGACCCTACGTTTGTCCTGAGTGCGGCATGGAGTTTGTCCAAATCCACCATCTCCGACAACACGCTCTCACTCACAAGGTAATGGCAGCACTGAACTGAAAATGAGGTGACTTTGTCAACCAGGGTATGTGTTAAAACAAATCAGAATGCCTAGCCACATGCCACTGCACATACTTAACCTATATTCAAAATAGAAATTGTCATTTTAAAGACATAAACATCTATGTGGTGTAAAGGCAAGTACTTAAGCTTCACTCAATCACAGCCCTCTGTATGAATCCTCATAGGAAAATGGGAGGGTAAATTGCACACTTGCGCCACAGCCTTTCCTCTAAAACCAGTTGCTTTGTAAACATAGCCTTCAAAGGCCTTAGTTTTTTTGTTTGGCTCAACCCCCGACTTGCATGTGTTTTGTGTTGTGTGTAGTTTGCAGAGCTACTTCCCTTTGTGTCTGATGAATCACCCTGGTTTTTCTCTCTATTTCATTACACAGTCTGTTTTATTCTATAGGGGGAACAACAAATACATTTCCATGGCATTTGCTTTTGTTCAATATTAAAATGTAAGTTAAATAATACATGTTGGGGAAAAAGTTTATTCTTTCCATTTATTTTACTATTTCCACTCCGTCTTTCAACACTTGGTGGGGCTAATGTGATTTACATGTGTTGGAACAAAAGCCAGAATGCAAATGCTCCTTGTGTTTTTTCCCTATGACTCATTCTGTATTTTCCTTTGCACAATATATTTAGCTAAATTAATTAAAATGGCAAAAACACTGTTTGTTCCCACAGGGTATGAAAGAATTCAAGTGTGAAGTCTGTGCTCGAGAGTTCACGCTGTCTGCCAACCTAAAGAGACACATGTTGATCCATGCCAGTGTCCGGCCCTTCCAGTGTCACGTCTGCTTCAAGACATTTGTCCAGAAGCAGACCCTAAAAACGCACATGATCGTCCACCTGCCAGTCAAGCCTTTTAAATGCAAGGTGAGTGAAGTAGAAGACTTTTACTTTAAGAAAGAACTGTGTTCGATCGTGGACGGATACTGACTATTTTTGCTGTTGTTTCTCAGGTGTGCGGAAAGTCTTTCAACAGAATGTACAACCTCCTCGGCCACATGCACCTCCACGCTGGCAGCAAGCCCTTCAAGTGCCCTTACTGCAGCAGCAAGTTCAACCTGAAGGGCAACCTCAGCCGACACATGAAGGTCAAACATGGCGTCATGGACACCTCAATAGACAGCCATGGTGAGTATCTCCATTGATTATCCTTAATTACACCCTCTGCTTTGAAATGAATGAAACTCCTCTATGACATTTGAATTTGTTGATGGGTTATGTGTGGCAAATGTCCAAGTTGGGCTGCTCTGTGATCTTCATGTCGCATTATTGTCACTCAGTCTGCCCCTAATGCACTTTGACTCAGCATGTACTGAAATCTAGTGGCCAAGTGTTTTGATGTTTCTCTGTCACTTCCTCCCTGTGTGTTTAGTAAATATAGCAGTGCCTGGATTAGACATGCCTGTCTCTATCAGTAGAGACTGATACTGAGGCAGCTGTCCTCAATTAGACCATGTGTCTTTAGGAGGACCTGAATGTGTGTGTTACTGAGGACAGTGTTGGATTATATGTGTATTTGCTTCCTTCATCAGAGCCCCCACAAGAAGTAGAAAGCCAGGAGGACTACGAAGAGGAGAGCTTTGAATTCAGCGAGCGAGAAAACCGAGCTAACAACAACAACACACCAGACATTGCCAAACTATCTCAAATTGAGTATTACAGCACCTATGGGAAGGGCGCAGGGCGTTTCAGCTCTGCATGAATAATTGAAACGACCCCAAATTAAATATAATTGTGAACTCAAGAAAACAGGATTGGTTATTTTGCTTTTAAAGACAAAGTGCTCGGGTTGTTCTTCAAAGATGTGAGGAAACCCAGCAAACTGCACATTCGTATGCACTGGAATCATTTGTAATGCTACATTTGGAAATGTATACTTTTTACCTTATAACATATTTTTCATCTCTAAAAACACAGCAAATCTAATGAATGACTATATTATATTCGAGCAAAGTGGACTGTCTTAAACAGGAGCATTTAGATACAAAAATGAATATATAAAAAACATAGATGTTGTCAGCTGCTTAAAATCAGGAACATCATCTGAGCCAAATAGAAAAAGCACATGCTTAGCTGAAAGCCTGGTGATGTTTTACTGCACTAACTCATTCAGACAATCCCGGTGTATCTCAGTCTGCTGGGGTAAACTAATATGAAGGGTTAAAGAAGGGAACAATTCATTTCGCTTGCCAAAGCTTATCAAGTTGCAGAGGTTAATGATTCACTTTGATTCATACTGTGATAAATTAAATTAAGCCTGCAGAATGAGACGATTCAATTGGAATTGCAATCTGTGTTTTATTGTATATTATTGTACAGAACGTATCAGTCCTCTTGTACGTTGGCTGGTGCTGTGATCAGTGCATTGCACTAAGGACCAATGTGTCGACTTTCTAGGTTTCTGCATTAACAACCATCAACCTGTATTGATCTCTAGTCTATGAATGTAAATGTTTCTGTGGAATGTTTTAAGAAGCTAATGAAAACAAAATCTAAATACCTTTTTCAACGGTAGAACCCCTTTACCAAAGAATCACATCAAATGTTGCAGCTGCGGAGACCAGGTCTGTTTTCCTTGCTGTTGTGTTGAGCAGGGACATTGGATTTCTTGCGGTCCAATCGTAGACCTCATGAAATTACATTCAGACCCTCCGTCCCCCACCCACCCATCTGTAGATCTCCGCAAAAGATTACCACAGAGAACAGACTGTGGTACAGCCTCTTTTTCAACAGACCTCACCATTTCCCCCCCCATTCAGGCATTCAGGAGACAAGACTGCAGCATTTTCTCAAAGGCAATGCAAACCCTGCCTTCAAATTGCAGTTCTGTTTTTCTTTATGGATGAATCTCAACAAGACGTGTTCCCAAAAAAAAAACTCAAGACACAAATATTAAGTGCCCCAGTGTGTCTGCAAGAGCATGCCATCCATCATGCTGTACACTGGTCTCAAGTGATGAACGACAACCTCCCAACATGTGACAGGGCCGCGGACCTTGTGGAAAATGATTTGGGAAATGCTCAATATATTCAGTTTCCCAGTGCTTAGCTTTTCAAACTGCAAAAACAAGGTATCCATTTGCGATGTTGATATAGCGCATTTAAAATAAAAATGCTCAATTTTGTGAGTTTTTCCGCTTCGGTGTTCATTCCATCACATTTTTAGTGATGATATAAAAAGGGGAAGATATTCAGCTTAAATGGCTTTCTGTAATAGACATTAGTGTGGAGATAATGTTGATAGAAATGTATGTACAATGTTGTGTACCAGACAATACTGTAAAATAATAAATTTATTTACCTTTAAAATTGCTGACATTTATTTGCTTGCAGACAACCAAAACAAATACCAATATTGGGTCAAACACTGGTTTTTATTGGCGAATATGTTTGATCAGGTCTTCAGTCCTGCACAAGGCATTACACAATATTGAATACAGTACTTCACATAACAAAAATAAAACCTTGCAAACAGTTGGACATAGTTAGGCAGCATCAGGTGGAAGCACAGCACTATTGCTCGAACAACACTATAGACAGTACTTTAGAACAAAATGCGAGTGTATCTTTTGACCTTTAAGTTCAAAATGAGGTACAAAACCGATGAGTGACATTGCCATCTCCAAACTAGCTATATTCTACCAAGTCCTTTTTACTTTCCGAGGGCTTTATCCAGATTTGACCTGATGGCGTCGAGGAAGTCTGTGGTATTGACATAGTGCTCGTTCAGCTTGACACTGAAAAGGCAAGACAAGACAGAGAGCACATCAGAAAATCTGTAACATACTTTAGGAAAAAAAAAGACATTACTGTAGCAAAAAAAATACATAACCTTTATTATTATTAACACTATTGTTTTGGTTAATAACAGAATCTTCATTATTATTATAATAATTTAAGCATTAGAATAGGCACGATGCAGGACATTAGCAACTTAAGGCAGTTTGCTTGGTACTACATAACTACTGTAATACTTAAATAACTGATGTCCTCTATTTTTAAATGGAATATTGTCTTTATTGTCAAAAATAACCCTGAATCATTAGCAGATTTGTGAACTGTAGTGTCTCATGGATAAAAAAAATGCATGAAAGTAATGTATGTAGTACAACTGCCGACCGTGTGCAGAAATAAGTTAGTGAACAAAACGGCACCTACCTCCACCAAGGCTACGAAACCCTTAAGTAAGGGTTTGATCAAATAATTAACGGTAGTAAATCTTTCATCCCTACTTGGATCTAGATGGAAAATAATGCAATACACGTGCAGCCTGTTCTTCATCAATCATTAGGAATGAGCAAAAACGCACCCTTAATTAATATTTCACAATGTTATGAATCCTCTAAAATGTACTGGATGCACATTTTCATCTCGACTGAAACAACGGCCTAAATCTCTCAACCTCACTTAAATAGTTTGGAGTTTTAAGATAAGATACCCTGCTAAATTAACATTAACATATCGTGTACAAAAAATAATACTGGCTACAAATCTTACATATAAACACAAACTGAGGGCGTGTTTGGGTTGAGGTTTTAAGTTCCTGACTTAACACATGCTTGCAGTTCATGTGTCAATCTTTCAGATAGATGGAGGTGGTTTAATAAAAAAGGGAATAGTTGCAGTCAAAGATATGAGAAATAAATCCTCAAACATTCATTTTTGGATGCCATTAAAGGCTTAATGTCCCAAAACAAAATATTCACCAAGAACTTAATGGGTACATAATTCAAAATAGGTCCCCAACTAATGACGTTTAGTATGATTGATTAAACTGCAGACCATTTTCTTGTATTTTTCGGTGCATCAAATGTCAGAAAAACTATGAAAATGGCCATTACAATTTTCAGAGTCATTGTCTTACTCAAATGTAGCTCATAGTTTAATAATATACTCATTCATCAATTTTAGTTTGTCTTATTTGCACTGACTTAATAGTACCAATAAACATTTTCCGGCTGTGTGAGGTATAAAGAATTTCTGATTCTGATAAATCAAGATATTTGCAGATACTTTCTTATCGATCAACTAATTAGCTCAGCTATGTATCTTATTTCCCCTCATGTATTACATAAAACACTTGAATGTACCAACCTTACCCCATCCTAAAGACAGAGAAACGTCCATAGCCATAAGGAATAATAATAGTTGCACCTTTTGTTCTACATATCTTAGGGGTGAAGTCCCACAGATAGTCCCGTTCCTTATTTTTAGTGCTCTCTGGGGCCGAACCCTTCCTAACACCTTCAGAAGCCTCGCCTGGAAAAACATGCTTATGCAACCATAAAGGTACCTCCAAGACATTTTGGTTTGTTTTAGTTCAGAGAAAAAATATTTGAATCACCGATGACACCATTTAAACACAGTATGGGTTGGTTTGAGTCAGGACAAGTGTATATCTTCATTTCCTGTAAGTATAAGTGTTCTAAGATGTAGTTGTGGATGTAGCTCTGAGCATCGACACACAACATGGACTTACTTGGGCAGGCCGTGGATGCAGCCTGCGAGGTCCTTGGTCATTACGCCACTCTCAACAGTATCGACACAAACCTTCTCCAGGGTCTGGACGAACCTGCAGAAAAATAAAGACATTTAGAAGATGTTTCATCCCAGGGTATGTATGATTCATTCAAAAACAACAACATCTCTTACTTGATCAGGTCGGGGTTGCCATCCAGCTTGCCACGGTGCTCCAGGCCTCTGGTCCAGGCAAAGATGCTGGCAATGGGATTGGTGCTGGTGGGATTTCCCTGGAAGTGAAGTTGACGATAATGTTATATATTTTTTTGATACTACACAGTACTAGGATGTTGTTTTTAATTCTCATGAATTTATTTATTTACTATGGGCATCTAAATCCCATTCACAATTTTCACCACATGGTGGCAGTATAACCCCACAGATTACAGAGTCTGTTTGCAGGACCTTGATTTGGCTTCACACATTTTCCATTTCAAATTCGTATGTTTTGTATATATAGATAGATGGCGCCGTTGATAATGATGGCTGGTTACCTTCTGGTGCTCGCGGTAGTGCCTGGTCACAGTGCCGTGGGCGGCCTCAGCCTCGACTGTCTTTCCGTCAGGGCACACAAGGACTGAGGTCATCAATCCCAGAGAGCCATAACCTATAACAAAAAGAAAGCAAAATTACACAAACCCTTATTTAATGCAACCCACATATTCTTAAGAGAAAACTGCCAAGTGCTGATTCAGTATTTTATTACAACAAGTTCCCAGGAATTCCCCAGAGAGTAGTGCTGTTGCTTTTCCAAATATCTCACCCTGTGCGATGATATCGGACTGAACGTCTCCGTCGTAGTTCTTGCAGGCCCACACGAAGGCTCCAGAAGACTTCAGCACTTGGGCGACCATATCATCAATGAGCCTGTGCTCATACCAGATCTTCAGCTTCTCGAAGTCTGGCTTGTAGTGCCTGCAGGAAGCAAATACAACATATCAAACTAACTGGCTTATTATCGTACTTTACATGATTTAGCTTCTTTTTTTTTAATACATAATCTCGATCATTTCCTAAACTTGCAATCATTTTGTAAACCATAAAAAGTACATTTTCTTAGTTCAGAAATGTTGACTGCTTTCTAATTAGCAATGAAATGCAAAAGGGTAGTTTAACAAAATCTCTTACAGATGTATATTGGTGAATAAAGAACAGAAGGCACTTACTTTACGTAGATCTCCTCGAAGATGTCTTTAAATCTGCCGTCATAGGCTTTGAGAATGGTGTTCTTTGTGCTCATGTACAGGGGCCACTTCTTGCCGATGGCGTACTGGAAGCAGCTGTGGGCAAAGCCAGTGATAGACTGTTGGGGGAAAGAAATACAAACAGCTCATGACTACTGAAGCATTTTATCAGCAGTACAGAGGTTAACAACCTTCACCTTGACAAGTTGAAAGTCATCTACTATGACCTCTCATGTTGTTAAATCAAACAGACCTGTGCTGCTGAATGCAAACAAAACAGAAGCAAAGCCGGTTGAAAAGAGAGTCGCTACTGCCAAGACAATTCTACTACAGGCCTTAGGCAGATTGTAACAGCGGTTTCCTTTAAGCATGAAGAGTTACACATTTTGGAGATGAAGTAAGGATAACAATTTGTATTCTGTATTTGTGTCAGGGAAAATATATTTCAACAAATTCAATAGAACGGGTCGTACGCACTATAAAGCTTTCCCCTGCTACAAAAAGATCTCTGTTGCAAACCAACATTTGTATTCTGACAAGCCTCGTATCAAGGACTGTTTCTTATCTTTTATTTATAGATTTAGGAGAACATTTTCCCTCTAGATTTCTGAATAGGACCAATTAAAATGTTGTGTTGTAGAATTTGAAAGACGTAAAGCTAAGTAATTTCTTATTGTAAACAATTCCCATTAAAGAGTTTGGAAAGGTTTCTCTGTATCATAGAGCTCTCTAAAACAAAATACATGCATTGTTAGAGCGGGTTTCCATGTTTCTTGATTACATTGGGAACTCTAGTTTATTTTGAGTTGTTCGCACAACACAGTCACTAATAAATCAGTGCCCAGCTGCTAAAGGAAATGTATATTTGTTCGTGACCAGTTGAGGTCTTCAGCAGGGAGAAACTGACTTGGGGCTAAGTGCCGAAGATGCAATGGGGCAGACAAAAACCATTGGGAGATAAAAGACAGGCGTAGTTGCTGCCTGTTTTTCTGTTGTTAAAGGAATTTGTTGACGTCAGCCTTATCAGAAGCGCGCACTCACCTCATCAGTGTTGTACATGCCCATTCCACAGCCACCAGCGGGGAAGTCATAAACCTCCCACTCCTTGCCTGTACTCCCATCAGAGGGGGTGAAGATCATCTTGAATTTTCCGGGTTGGTCCACAACAAAGTCAGTTGCTCTGTACTGTAGAAGAAACAAAGTACACAAATGTTTGATCAATCCTGAAAATGCCCGGTTTGTTGTTATTTAGGGCACAAGAGGCGAGAGATCTATGACTGTAAACCGAAATGCTACAGTCATTTCAGCATTAAGGGGAGACTCACCTGATCACCGAAGGCGTGTCTGCCAATGATGATGGGCTGCGTCCAACCGGGAACCAGCCTGGGAATGTTCTTGCAGATGATTGGCTCACGGAAGACGGTGCCGCCCAGGATGTTCCTGATGGTACCGTTAGGGCTCTTCCACATCTTCTTCAGGCTGAACTCTAAATACAAAAACCCAGAGGATGTAAAGGATATTTGAGATAGCGTTGGTGATATGAGAGTTTTCCTAACAATTGCATGCTTTAAATGTATTGGGCTTGATATTTTCCATCTAAGGAAACTATAGAACGGTGACACTGGTTCAATACATGTCCTTTGCTTTTCAGTTCACTTTCTCAGCCTACATTCATAATATGTATGATGATAAAAGGTGAGAAAGTGAACTGCAAATAGCTAATATTTTTGTGACTGGGGCTCTAGTAGTTTTGATAACCTTTCATTTTAACATTGCCAATTAAAAATGTAGCATGCTCATTAGGGTGGTCCTTCGTGAGAGGTACATTTTTTTAATTTATTTATTTTAAGCTCCAACCACCGGAATTCGTTAGTCAAGAAAAGTCTCCCGGTGAATTGTATTCAAATTCAAACAACATTCACCCCTCCCTCATCAACCTTGAAGTTTAGCCTCACGTAGGGTGGTCCTTAAAATTGAAAGTCGGAAAGGAATAGAATGAATTCTGGGGGTTGGAGCTTAGACTTTCCGACTTTCAATTTTAAGGACCACCCTAATGCTCATTGTATAAATTGTTGTTTGGAAAACGGTAAGGAGGAAGGACATTAAACTAAAACATCTCTGCAAAAATAAATACTAAATTGGACTTTGGGTACCCCGATAGTTTTTTTATGCAAATATTGTAAAACCAAAATCCAGAACAAGGTTTATAGAAGGTTAAATGAGATTTAACATTTATCTTATAATAGACTGTTTTAGAAACAACTAAACTAAGCCAGACTTTTAGCCATCATCAAGCCTTAGTTAATATTTTAAAAGTTAATAAACAGTTAAGATCAGCCCTGTGTTGCAACAAGAGACCCTCTTGACTACACCTTTGATATTGCTTTCAATCTAGGCCTGCAAAGCCTTTATCCAAATCAATCAGAGTTGTTTCCAATTACCAAATACTTTTTTTTTGCTCAGTGAAAATCTCCCAATTGGACTCTCAACAAAGTACTTTACAAAGTGCAGGCAAAATAATTAAGGCTGTGAGTCGATAGTACAAGTAAATGCTAAACTGCTCTGAAAGTAGACTGCTCCGACTACTACAATAGGTTGATTGCAGAGTCTTAGGCGATGTTTACACGATAACGCTAACGGTTGTATCCGCAACGTTTCTCTTTCGTTTAGCCCGTTCGGCCACACGAGGCCGTAACGGAAACGCGGAAACGGACTCCGCAAACGATAACGGGTCCCAAGGTGGATAGATCTGCAACCGGAACGCTCTGGGGGGTGAAACGGCTCCGTGTGTACGCCCTATACGATCATTTCCTGATAACGATGAGCCATAGCCCCGCCTCTCCCACCCTCTGCTGTAGCATGGTCAGTAGCTACTGCTACTGCCAAAATCTACAGCTCCTCTACCACAACCATCAGCAACAAGTGGACATGGAGAATTACATGAACACTATTTACATACCTTCCACTCTGGCCTCGTCGGGGGTGATGGTGGCGCATTTAACAGCCACATTGTACTTCAAAGTGGCCAGGGCAGAGTCGATGGTGACCTGGTCGTCAGTCTGATCACGGTACGGCAGACCCAGGTCATAATACTTCAGCTCAACGTCAACATTGGTCAGGATGAGCTGAAAGAGGCAACAAAAACAAAATTAGCATCTGCATTTAACTACAGCATCTTTAATGTTGTTTTGTTTAGAAAACTTTATAGATCAGTTGAAGAGACTACATCAAATAACATTGAACTGAAGTAGTGCCTCCGAATGTATGAATAGTGTGTGTGTCATTTTCAGTGTTTGCATATGATTTATGAATTACACTTGCAGTGTTGGAACAACACAACTCGAAACGCATTCAGGGATTTTATCTCATGATTCTCCATGTTTTCTCCCAAGCGAAAGCGCCATCTGCTCTCTCCAAAGGCAATAAGCGAGTGACTGAATGAAACAGCTCCAATCCCCCCCCCCACACATCATCATACATACATAATCTTACACATAACATCCCCTCACATCCACGTGTCAGTCTGTGATATGAAAATAGGAATCAGACAGCTCGGGGGACCTTCCTCTTCTGAGAGTCACCTGTGTGTGTGTGTGTGTGTGTGTGTGTGTGTGTGTGTGTGTGTGTGTGTGTGTGTGTGTGTGTGTGTGTGTGTGTGTCTCCACCACTTCATCACCTTCTCTTTGATGAACTCCCAGATGATCCTAGTCATCTCATCTCCGTCCATCTCCACCACCGGCTGGGACACCTTGATGCGTTTGTCGGCATCTGTCAATCACAAATGGAACAGTTCATTCACAACAAAATGCTTATTTATTTATTTAAGGGTCAAAGACTGCCGAGCAACAAACGGGAAACATTGATTTGAAAATAAAGGTAGATCCTGTTTCGAGGATATCAGCAGAGGACAGGCAACAGCGTTTTCTGCTGTTTCCTCTACATTTGCCCAATAGTCTCTGTGCCTCAGGAATAGCACTGCTACTATAATCTCTTTCTCAATGTATCTACAGAATAGCATTTAATCAAATAATTGTTGAGTCAATTAAGCAGAGGGTATTATTTTATGTCAACCAGTAAATATTCAAATTTGACTATGTACTCATTTTATTACCAAAGTGCTTTTTTAACTGCTTTAACTGATATCATACCTGCAAAACTGAACAGCATATGGCTGGTACATTCTCAAAAAATACTGAATAATCATAATCCCAGTCAAAAGAGGACATCTTGAAATGTCTTGTTTTGTTCCAACAAGCCACTAAACCAGAGGTATGAGGTTTTTTTAAAGATTTTAAAAAGTTGCAGATTTTTTGAACATTGTAGAAGTTACAACTAGCAATGTTTGAGATGTTTGCTAGAACAGTGACTGATTATGAATTACTGAAATAGTTTCCAATTAGCTTTCTTCTGAATAAACTGTATAATCCTTATTTGGAAAACTCTCACTTTTATTGCCGTTATATTATTAAAATCATTTGAACTGGTCATATCAGGATAAAAACAACTGACATTCAACTTTTTATTGTCAAAAAAACACATATTTAATTACTTATTTATTCGAGCCAACATTGGCATTGGAGAGAATGGGCTCTTAACTTGCTTTTCAGTTGGTTTGACGTCGATTAGTATCTCTAATCATATCAGCTCTCATTGAGCTCAGTGTGTGTGAGTCCTGTCAGCAGGACACTGAGTGAATAGCAAAAGTTCAGGGGGAGGTGCCGAGGATCAAGTGTCTCTCAGATTTTCCAGCCAAGTTAATGCTCCCCCACTGCTACCAAATAAAATAATGCAAGTTAACATAAAAGGAGTCTGGTAGAATCGTTACGCAACAAACATTTCCTTGTACTAAATATATTTAATAAAATGTAAAAAAAAATCCATGCAGATTTATGGGGACATTTTGATCTTGTTGAGATTATGAAGCCTTGGCAACACCTGTCAAAACAGACTTGTGCTCTGTTCACATACTCCAAACGTGATGAGCCATGCCAAGTGCAGATACATGGTGTCCATGAAGCTCTGAAAATAACCTCATTCAAAGACGGTTGTGACCTCTATGTCACGATTGAGTTATTGAATAGCATGACACGAGCATGAAGGTTGTATATTCCTGGTCGAATGTACTTATTGTAAATCGCTTTGGATAAAAGCGTCAGCTAAATGCAATGTAATGTAATAATGTAATGACACAGATATAAATAATAAAATGTTGTATCTGGGACTAGTGAGGTTTTTTGCAACCCTGGTTGATCGTTGACAGTAACTATTATGTATAAACATTCCGTCACTGGAGATGAAAGGGTTTGTTCATTTTTCAAGAAAAGATGCCAAATGTCCCACCATTGTATTATCAATTAAAGTTGTGTTTCTTTTCTTCATGAAGTTGGATAATCTTCAAAATAATTGTCTACCATTTGCTAGACAAGTAATCAATTTTAGAGAGTAACTTTGTGTTAAGTTTAACAAAGCTAATGGGCCGTTTCTTACCATTTCATAAACTTAATAGTAAACTGAGCAAGGGATTGGCAGATGAATCAACAGTGAAAATAATCATTAGTGACTGCCCTAGTTGTCATAAGCATGTGCTGAACATGGTAAAAAAATCCAGCATGGTATGACCGACGAGCGACTGTTGTGAGGTAATTTTCACAATACAGTCTCTTCTGCAGTGCATCCTGGGTGAATCTAACAGCTACTGTGGCTGGCACATTGTCTCTCATCTAACCTAAATCTGCTGAAACAGGCTGCACCATCACAGTGACGGGGAGGGGAGCGCAGGAGGGAGCTGAGTTGGTTATGTAACCTCCGAATTCATCACAAACCGGGCGCTGAAGGGTAGGCTGAATAAAAGTCATGTGGATCCGCCTGCCACATCCTTCACACATGCAGCCGGGGTATTATAAGCCCGCCTCGTTAAAACAGCAACGTATTAAAAAAGGTAGAATTGCACAGGAAATCATACCTCCATACTAAGCTTGGCATATTGTCTCCATTTTAAACAATATAATAAACACAAGAGCAGACTCAAAAGTTTGAAAATGAGTCAACAGCTTCTTTCAGTCTGGGCATTATCTTGACAAAGATGTGGTACCATTCAAGTTTTGATACTGGTTCAAAAGCAATGCCTTAGTTTCAGAACCATTACAATATATTTGACTCGAGTACTATATTGCAATTATTGTACTTTTCTGAAGCATAAGTATTGTGGTTTTGACTCAAACAGTTTAAAAATGTGGCTAATTGCAGTGTAAATCAATCCATTTTAAAACAGGAATTATCTGTTGAAAGCCTGAGTAAACAATACAATCTGAGCTACCATTCACTGCCAGCTTTCGAGTATTAAGAAGATTTAAATACACTGTAGCAGACGGTATTTAAAACTAATGTGATAAACAAATTGTGTGAGGTTGGTAAATGACACTTTTTTACTATAACTTGTGCAATATAGTGCATATAAACTAGGGGCAGGAAGCCAAATATCATCTAAAACAATGTGTGCCTTGACAAGATGACCTCAATGACCTTTGTCCATGTCGGTTAACTTTAAACAAAGGGAGGCCAGTCTTAAACCCTTTCAGTTTTAATCCTATGTCAACGAAAGGCATTCACTACGTAAACAAAGTGACTAAAACCGAGCTGCAGACGAGACGTTTCTGAGAAGGTCAGTTAATCAACTGTTAAACTGCACTGACAAAAACATAGGAAGTTAATGTGCAAGGTCACAGAGTTCACAAACTAAAATTGAAAACGTACTAGTGCATTATACTTTCTCTTTGTAAAACTCACAGCCAAAAGGAAACGGCATGTTGGGCACTTTTATGAGGATTGTAAAACTTAAAAAGGGCAGGATATTGCAGCAAACAGCTTCCATTAAAGATAATGCAACTTGTGACAGCTATAAAAATAAATGAATAGTTTTCGTCTCAAACCTTTGTACACTGATTTGCTGAGGACTTTTGAATTAAAACACTAAATAAAAACAGTGACAATGCTGCCACAGGTGTGTAGTGTGTACTAAGAAAGTGTTACCCTATAGCAGGAATCTGTAGGAGTGTAGGGGTTTAAAGTAGTGGAACTACACCTTTGTATCTACCTGAGACAATCCTGGTTGTGCAAACTGGGCTGCTATCATTCACCACTGACAGCTCGGTACACTACAAAGCTCAAATGACTCTTGATTCAGTCACACTCCAGAGACAAAGTGCCCTTCACCTGACCAGTTGCTGTGTAAAGTAAACACACACTGGTGTTGCTAGTTTGGGTCTCACAGTGACATTTGGAAGGAGTTAGAAAGTCCTGCTGTATATAAATACAAGGGTCAGATGTGTTCAAATAAATCTGCTTACTATGCTGTGGATGTAACCCTGATGGAAAACATTATGTAGGACAGCCGGAGATTCGGCAGCCATTACTCTCTTTAGCTGAGTCTCGTATGCAAAGCTGACCTTGGCAAAACTTTTGTAAGTCAGTGTTGCACTAATGACATGATGGCTGAAGAACAGCTCATCATTTTTTGGAAGGAACTTCATTTTGCTTGACATGGCTGCACTAAAACCCCCGAGGAGAGAAGAGCAATAAAATGTCCGCACCTACAAGGAAGAATCTTTTTATTCATCCGTTGCCAGTTTTTAGCATTGCAAATTTTACTTGAATGGTTTAACTCTGCTTACAGTTGCCATGACAGCGATGGTAGTACTTTTTTACCGTTAACGTTCCATTCATTTAAAACGTGAAAAGGCTGACTAACTGTCATTCAAACTTTAGGATGACACGAAGACAACTCTTTCCGGCTGCTTGTTTTCGGCCATTATCTCGTCGTTTTCAACCACCGGATTATGTAAACAACTGGCATTAAACGACCTGGAAGCGTTTGGGCTCCTTTGCCCCAAATATTAATAAAAATTACGACTATTTATAGCACTGGCGTCTGCTAACATTGCTCCGTAGCTCGGTTATCGGCTGTCTGGTGTTGTTACCGACATTAGCCGACCAGCTACATTGAAATAAAATACACCATTTTAGGTCAAAGTTAACACAAATATGCCGAGGGTGACCGTGTTGATCTCTCTTAACTCACAGTTTCTTTGTTGCAAAGTCTGGCAGTTCGCAGCCGGAGCTAGCACCGCAGGGTTTCTGGAGAAAGCTGCGGCGGACTTCGAAAGAGAGCTGAGGACTTTCAGATATCCAGCCATGTCTGTTTGGCCCGAGTCACTTTCTGAGATTGACACTCGAAGAAACTGCGAGAAAAGAAGGGGCACAACGCTTCCAGGCTCTATGCAATATAGCGAGCAGCAGGAGCAGCACCGCCCTTCTTTCCCTGCCGGCGGGACACGCTGGTTGCTACGTCAGAGACGCACACAGACACAGAGGAGGGACCGAGAGCAAATAGCGGATAAAGCTCCTTCGTACTCTAGACAAGAGCCGGGTCGGGTGAGGTGAACTCTGAGCTCCTCAGGCAGGATGACTCCGGCCGAAGGTCACCGTCATATCAAAGTAACTAAGTACATTTACTCAAGTAAAATGTTGAGGGGCTTGTACTTGTCTTCAGTAATTCAATTTGTTGCTACTTCGTACTTCTACCCCACTACAATTCAGAGGTAAATGGTGTACTTTTACTCCACTAAATGTATTTAATACTTTTAGTTACTCTGCAGATTTGGACTAAGTGGGCACTTTCACACCGCATTGAATTATAATCAACACTTAAATAAGACTTTAGTTACACCTGGAGTAACATTGACAAGCTACCCTGCTGCATACAATGTCATTAAACTGCACCTATACCAGCTTTGATAAACACATTCATTGAGGACTGATCTTATTTTTAATCAAAAATGTTCAAATTGCACACACAAAATATATACTGTATATATAAACATCATTGTACACACAGTTATGTAATATTACATATGTATAGTAACCCATAATAACCATAACCCATAAATGCAGAAGCATTTTGATAGAATAAAGACAAATATCCTAAGACAACACATTTAAAATAGGGCAATATGAATGATAAGAGATATCATGACACAATTATGTGTTAACAAGTTAAAAGACACTGAAAACGATGCACACAAACTCAATGAAGCAGGGCTGTATAATCAATACATACTGTACGAATGAACAGTTAGTTTAGGATGCGAAATTGATATTTACTTTTAAACTGATCAAATATATTACATTTGCAAAAACGGAACCAAATTTAAAGTGCAATGTTTACCTTTCAGACAAAAGTGCCAACATGCAAATAACTGTATTGTTGAATACACTTTGTTTGACATATGTTTATAGATGTTTAAGAAACTAATTTCTGTGTACAACATTGCATAAGAATGTCTACAAATATGCAGTGCCTTCAGATCAGAAACTGCAAACCGATATTTATTATTTGCCAACATATTTTTGTAAGAACAAAAAAGAATGGCGAAGCAACAAGAGAGACATTTGTTGGGATACCCTATCATCTGCAGGAGTATACTCATATTCCAAAAAGACTCGGCAGAGGGCCCTCTAATTTTAGCAGGGGAAGGTTACCATACTGGGAGTGATTGTACAGTGCAGTCACATGAAGTGCCTGGCGGTAAGCCAGTAAAAGAGACAGCAGGTCACCTCTGAAGTACTTTTCATTTAAGCCAAAGGGCCCTGTGTTTACAAAGGCCAGATATGTAAAGACCAAATAAAAATGTCTGCAAACATACAAAGTGGATTTAAAGTATAACATACCTCAATTTGTGTTTATAACATTATGGAGAAGGTCTGCTGTTTTATTACTTGTGTGTGTGAAATGCACACTTTTTCCCCTGCACGTGTTCTGAGAGAGTTATAAGCAGGTTACTGCGGTCTGACAGGGAACAGTAGTAATTATATAACCTTTTGACTTTCTGCATTAACCTTTGACCCTTTAGTATGTAAATCGTTTCCACAAGCTGTCCACTTTCACAGACAGTCTCAAGTGTGGCCCAGACCCATAAACCACTCCACGTGTTCTGAAGTTAAAAAGAAAGGGGTGACTTTGCAGCCACATTAAAACTGTACCTTGATCGAAAAGCAATCTACAAAATGTGTAGTCGCTCAACTGTTGCTCTGATGAGGCTTTGATTCAGAGCTGAGCGTATAATGCTGTTATTACTGTCAACTTGGTACTGCTTCGTCTTTTGTGTTCCATACAGCGGGAGAGACCAGCTTGAATTGCTCGTAGGAGTTTAGGATATCATTTGATCCTATATACAAAGTGCTTTCCCAGTGTTCTTACTCGATATCCCTGGATATAAAAATGAATCGTATGGTGTATGTGTTCCACCTTCTGGACTCCTCTGAGGCAGTGAGACTGTGTTAGTCAGCCTACAGGGACCTCTGCTGGTGGATTTGTATGTATCTGATTTGGGATTGGATTTGTACATTTAAATTGCATGGCAATGGCAATGTTATACAAACGTTTCGAATTGCAACTTTAACTTAAACATTTGCGTGTGTGTTTATTGTGACAGGAAAACATGAAACATGGTAAAAGCACATTATTGAATTTTATTATTTTATTATTTTTAACAAAAATGAAAACATCAATAGCAAAAACAGAATTAACTGTCATTAGTAAACCACTCAAATAAAAAGATCAAAAGTGGTTTTGTTTTACATATATTTTAAGGATAATATTTTCAGGCATGCTGTTTTGTTTAGATAATTAACATCTGGAGCTCTTTTAATGTTCTTTTTGATTATTGTTAGACCAGGTCTTGTCAAAACCTTTATTCCATCAGGGCTCAACCATAGACTGTATATATAAAGCTCAACGCTAACTTTTAAAAGTGGTTGCCAGGCTGGCAACCAGGCATCAGCTTTTGGTTGCCAAAACTGAATATACGGTTGCCATTTTTAGTCACCTTATATTTTAAATAATTAGGATACTATACAGTTATACATCAACTTAATAATTAAACTGTGACACAAAAGAATGTTCAAATGCTTTACAATAAGTAATTAGCACAATTATTTTAAACCTAAGTGATAGGAAACGTGTCCACCCTCAATTGCTGGTATACTAAACACCAGATCCACAAATGAATTGAGCAAGTCACTAGTTTCTTGGTCATCCGTTGTCTCCCTTTCAAATGTGGGTTGCCTTGACCTTAGTGCTGACCCCCACCATAGATCCACTGGCCCTTCAGCATCGAAGTCTTGGAATGGCCAGACTGATACATTTCTAATGTTAAATAAATGAAAACCATTCACAGTTAAGAATTAGATATTAATTATTAATGCTGTAAATGACCTTTAATATGTCTAACTATATTTAAAATGTGTTACATTTTTATAAAAGTGATTCTATTTGTATGCCAATATTTTCCTATGGTAAAGTTTCGTTTTGCACTTTTATTTTGGTAGTAATAAGATCGGGACTCTTATTTTTGAAGGAACTTTTACCGGAAGTGAATGCACAACGGAGCAGAATGTTTCGCCTCCCAAGACTTTACACATTTCCTCTTTGCTTTTCGTTCGGGTTCATCTTGCGCTTTATCAGTTGAATCACTTTGAACATTCGTTTGAGAAGTTGATGGGTTGGCCGAACTTGCAGATGAGATGTCTTTTTTAGCTGTTCTGTCCTCATTTCCTGCGATCTTCGTCCTGCAGTCAGTCAGAATGAATGAATGAATGAATGAATGAAAGGGCGTTTCTTTGACTATTTATAGGCAGATATGGGCGTTACGTGAAGCCCGCAAAAGCTGCACCGCATTTCGAGTCGGTTGTGATTTATAAAAGGGAAAACGGCGTAGGAAGTGCCGTACGCACTTTCTTCGCCGATACGCAATGATCGGTGAATCGGAAAATGTCGGAAAATTTCTGTACCTATTTTTGTGATTTTTACTACGTAAGCAACCTTCCCACGTGAATCCTACGCACAGCGTTATACATGAGGCCCCTGGTGTGTGTGTGTGTGTGTGTGTGGTGGGTGGAAGGATACAGGTGTAGAAAGTAGTCCCTATGTGTGTGCGTGTGTGTGGTGGTGGAAGGATACAGGTGTAGAAAGTAGTCCCTTACCTCGCTCTCTGCAAAGTGTCTCTCTCCCTTCAGACACAGAGACGTACGACGAAGAGTCTTCTCATCTCCATCATCAAACACTGAAACACACACACACACACACCTCAGTTAATGACAGTAAACATGTTTCTGTTACATCCCATAATGAGCTGGAGGTGAGCTGGCAGCGGATTGGTCAGACAGCCAAGAGAAGGTGTGACATCAAAGGATATCAGCAGTTTTAGCGAAACCGTTCTCATCTTCATCACTCCTCCCCGACAGCCAATCACAGCGCTCCATTATCAGCCAATCACAGTGTGTCATTACCATCCTTCACCAACAGCCAATCACAGCGTCCCGTCTCTACAGTGGATTTAAATTTGTATTTAAATGTTTTGTTGCTTTAAAAGTCTCCTATTGGCCTAGCATCTGATCTCCTCATTTTCATCACACATCAGGGGTTCTCTCCCTCTTCATCACACATCAGGGGTTCTCTCCCTCTTCATCACACATCAAGATTCTCTCCCTCTTCATCACACATCAAGGGTTCTCTCTGAAACAGGATGGAGCTCAAACTCTCTCTCTCTCTCAGGTTTACCACAAGGTGACTTCCTTTTGATTTCCTGCTTCTCCACACACACTCTCTCCAGCAC